CATAGAGAGGGCGGGCCTCCGGCTCGCCTAGAGAGGCGAGCGGCGGCGGCCATCTTTGTGTGGCGATAGGGCCCCTGTGGCGGAGCGGAGGAAGGAGTGGGTTGGCCGATGTGGGGAGCGCTGGGGAGGTTCTTCGTGGCGCAAGCCCCGGCCCGGCGGATCGTTCTTCACGCCGTGCCCGCGGGGGTGGCCTGCTGAAGGGTTTCCTGAAGGGGTGGGGGTGACTCGGAGGAGGATGGAAGGCCTGTGGTTGCCGGTTGTGTGGTGACCCACGACTGAGGGCCTCTTTGCACCTCATGGGCTGGAGATGTGGGGCCGCAGTGGGAGAGCTTGCACTGCACTATTGGGGGCTACTAGTCTCCTCCTTTTGTATTTTCAAGGGGGTGTCTTGATTGTTGTAGCTGTCCTGTAGATGAAGTAGGCTCAGCCTCGCACCTTCTGGCATACCAGCTTATTCCCTATTTTGGGGTTCCTAATAATTCCGTTTTTCTCTCTTGTCATCTTTCTAGCTGGAGGAGTCCTCACCGTAGCCCATGTTACCATGGCCACCCACTTTTCCAAGGATCAGGAGGAGAGAGTGCGTAGAAACTGGGTTACCTGGGCTACTGCTTTGATGTGTGTCTCTGTAGGGAGACCTTCCAGTGCTACTAACAGTGTGGCAGCTGGCTGTACCATGTAGCTTTTTGGAGGACAGTGGCTGAAACTGCTAAATTTCTTCTGGTTTTGTGCTTATGTCAGTGATGCAGGTATTGTACAACAGTACAGAACTTATCTGCTTAACTGAATGTCTGGGGATATCCAGCACTGGCACACTGATAGTATGCTAAAGATGTGCACTAATCAAGTTGTACTCTCTGTTACATAATTTTCTTTTTTAAGCATTGATTCTGTAAAATCAACTGCTGAGCTGGCACGTGATACTCGTAACTGATCTTGTAGAAAAGACAGTTGTCTGTATATTGGGTTCATAATTCATGCCAACGCATTTATTTGTGAACTGCATTTTGAACTCAGTGCCTTACACTCCTTAGTGTACAGGCTTGCCTGATTTCCTCTTACCTGAGTTGGCATGCAGCTTATTTTCATGTACCCTTCTTTTTGTGGTGTTTTCCAGATCAAGTGTGTTAAGGGGGACCTTTTCTCGTGCCCCCAGACGGATGCGTTGGCTCATTGCATCAGCGAGGACTGTCGCATGGGTGCAGGCATAGCTGTTCTTTTTAAGAAAAAGTTTGGAGGCGTACAAGAGCTGTTGGATCAACGTGAGTGATAACACGTGGGGTGGACATGCAGGAGCTGAAGGGAAAACCTTGATTTCCAGCAGTAAGGGTATTCCAAGCTACTTGGGGTGCAGGGGGAATTATGTAGTGGAATGTAACTTTTTTTTAAAAAATACCTTCTTAATTTTTTCACTTTAGAAAAGAAGACTGGGGAGGTGGCAGTTCTCCAGAGAGAGGACCGATACATTTACTACCTGGTAAGAGTGGGACGTTACTCACGCACTTTCCTGTAACCAAACTCTGTTAGATACGATGATGAGGGCTTTAATAGTTGTGGGGTTTTTTAATTTCTTCTAAATAAAAAGCATGAGATGTATTGCTCAATCTTGCTTATCAAGAAGAAGCCACACTCTCACATATGTATATGTAAGTTTAAATTGACAGATCTAACTGCTAAATGACACACTATTTTAAGCTGTGAATCATAGTTCTTTTTCCTTTCAGAGTAGCAAGTCTGTGTGTGGAGTTTCAGAGCGTAGTGGAATGAGTTTTTTAAAAAGAAAATTTTGCAGTGATTATGCCAAAGGCACAACTGACCTTCTACATTTATACTTAGATTACGAAGAAGAAAGTTTCTCACAAACCAACATATGAGAATATGCAAAAGAGCTTAGAAGCCATGAAAGCTCACTGTCTGAACAATGGAGTTACTGACATTTCCATGCCTAGGTAAGAAAATTAGTTACTGCAGTGTAAATGCTTCAGTGTTTCTTGCACAGTAATATGTTTGAGAGATGATCCCCTGCTGTGAAATAAGAGTTCAAGTATCCACTTCAACTGTGCAAATGAAATTTGCATTTCTCAGTGTGTTTAAATGATAGCAAAACATACAGGCTTGGTTGTTTCCTTATTTTAACTGCAATATGTTGGTTTATGGTGAGCTGAGTTAGTGCTATGTAAAATTGTAGCTGCTTGAAGGGCTAATTGTTCGTAGCATGCTCCAAAAGAGGCCATTACAGCTGTTTTGATGTCTTATTTTACAGGATTGGATGTGGACTTGACGGCCTGGAGTGGAATAAAGTTTCAGCAATACTTGACCAAGTGTTTGAAGACACAGATATAAAGATCACAGTTTACAGTCTGTAAGCCAAAGAGTTAAGGAGAGCCCATTTCCCTTGCTTTCAGGAGTGGAAAACTGTTAACTGCTGAGGGGGAAGCCACATGCTGAGCACATTCTTTGTCTGCGGGTAGATCACTCTTGTGTTGTCAGTGGCAGGGGCTTTTAACAATAACAAAAAAAAAAAAAGCTCCAGAGCAGCTAATTTGGGGTGTAGCGTTCAGGGAGCTTGTGAAGAAGCTTGCGGTAACCCTCAGGGAATTCCTAGTCTGTCCCAGCAAGCCACGAGATGTCACTGGTCCTCCACGGAGCACCTGACTGCACTAGAGCTTCTTAGAGCTGACGGTTCCTATGCAGAGTGAAATTGGAGCTGCCTGTTGCTTGGGTATTTGTTGGTTTGTAGTTATGGTTGATAACGATGAGCTGTGAGCCCTGTCACTTACTTTTTTTTTTTTTTTTTAAGTTTTGCAATGTTGATATCTGGCATATGATTTACTTACTGTGCCCGTTATGGGATTAAAAATCTAATTTCTACCTTCTGGCCACAAATACAATTTTTTGTTATGAGATTGTACTCACTAAGAATCATGCTGTCAACATTAAATAAATACCTCTTCGGCACTCTGCTGTCGGATCATAGCATGGTCCTTTTTGAAAAACACACCGATGTCTATGCATTGTGGCTGTATTTTAGAGGAAAACAGAGTTTTGAAGGTGAATGCTGGAGATGTGTAAAGACAGCTTGTGGGTGCATTTTATACTGTATAATTGGTGTCATCTACAGAATTCAATTTTCTGAGAATCCACACACGTGAATGACTAATGTGTTGTAAAATGTTGTAGTGTGGCATTTAAGGTTTGTCTGTCTTTTTTTTTTTTTTTCCTGCACTTGTAGTTGAGCTCTTATATGTAGATTGGTGTTTGGTGTCACCAATAGCAAATGGAAATTGGTAACACACTTAGCTCATCAGGTCATTGGTAAACACTTGATTTGTGACAGTTTGGTTCCAGTACTGAAGAATTATCATACACTCTGCATTTCCTTTATGTTTGGTTTTTCCCACCCTCCCATAATAGAAAAATCTTTTTGACTTCTCTGGTACTGAATGCCCAGAAAAATGCCAGATAGGTTGAATAAACCTAAAAGATGGGATGTAACAGTTGAGAAATTTGTAGTTGCTAATTTTTTTTCACTATGAATGGAATGGGTGGAGCGTTTTCTGTTCTTCGCATTGTGGGTTTATCTGTATCGTGTGGTTTCTTTACCAATGCAGATCTGCAAATCCTATTTATGCCTTGTAAGAGCTTCATATTATTAGTCTCCTTGTTTGTTGACCATCCTCTGTAAATTGTTTTTGGTGGATAATTGCTGTTGCTAAATACACAACTGGAGAAAAAAAAATAAACTCAGTGAGACAAATAGGAACTTGGAGTATTGAGCTGATCGAGAGTGGACATTAAAACTGCTCATTGATTTAGTCCTTACGCTTATTTATATTTGTTTTTTAAATCTAGTGGCAAAGAGATGAAATCCAGAGTGGCTGAACAAAGGTGTTCTTATTGCCACTTGTTCATTTATGACAGAATTCAGTGCAGTTGATTGAGGTAAGAGACAAGTGTGGTCAGCAATTTGATGTGTGTGTCCAGCACTGTTGCAGCTTGTGACAGTGCAGGAGAAACCCAAGGTGAAGAACTGATGGGAAGAATGAACCTTATCTGACTTGATTTTTGAGCTGATGGGGGTCCCTGTGACCCTTGTTTGGTCTGTGCCTTGTTCTATATGGAAAGCGATACGCCCTTTCTCTCTGTCTCCCACACTTATAGGTACTCTCCAAATTGTTTTGGCGTATAGTAATTCTCCCTTCTCATCATGCTGCACTTCAGCAACAAAATATTTCATATGTGGCTGTCCCAGGATGTCTCACTTGTCAGATTAAATTTAGGACCTCTTGCAAATAGAGAAGAAGGAGTAAACAGTGCTATAGGTTTTTGCAGTGACTTCCAATTTTATTTCACTTCGCTTTTCTCAGTTTTATATCACAAACATTGAACAAAGGGAGAAGGTATTTGAAGTCAAGTACTTGGGGTTCCATCATAATTTAGAATAGACTAGTTAGCCCTAATTTAAATCGTAGCTCTGATTATGATTTATGATGACATGATTTATGACTATGATGACAGAGGAAGACAACCCTTTTTTTTTTTAATCTTAAATCACTTTCTTTTTAACATTTACGAAGTATGTACTTTCTAAATGCTTTTATCTAATTGGCCACTTTGTTCTAAGATCTTTTTTCTCCCAGTATGTGAGGCCTACAGGCTTTCCTGTAGGTCTGCTGCAATCCATGTCATTCGAGGCTTTAATCACGCTGTACCTTCCCTTCCTTTCTCCTATCAGCAGGGGCAGCATGGGTTTGTTTGGGGCGGGGAGGAAGGAACAAAATAAACCAAAAAAAAATCCCAGACACCACAGATCTGTGTTGTATATGTGTTTGTAGTCCATCAGGACCTAGTCTTCCAGAAGTTGGTACTCCATCCTGCTGGAATCAAAGTTTTGGAAAGCAGGAGTGTCCTAGATGCCAAGGCTGTCGCATCTCTCTTCATAGACCTTTTCTGAATTGGTGCTGGGGAAGGAAAAAGACATGTTAGAAGCTTCAAATGCTTTCATGGGTTTTGGCTGAAATAGGTGATTCTTGAGTACCCATTAAGGAAAAAAAAAAAAAAAAAAGAATTCTGCATGAACTGATTTCCTTTACTGGTTGGTTTTTTTGTTTGCGTGTTTTTTGTTTTTTTTTTTTCTAGAGGGCTGGACTTTGGGGAGTGGAGGAAATCCCTTTTTCTCTACATTCCTTTCACTGTTTCCACGCATATCTTGAATATCATGCGTGTGGGGAACAATGAGGTATTCTTCTTGTACCTAGTGACCCTAGTACCTTTTTATTTCTTGTTCTTGGAGGTGTTTACTCTGATGGGGGGGTGGGGGGAGCTCTAAATCTGTTACGTGTCTGCTGTGGAGGAGCCCACTGTAGTGTAACTCCTGTTGAAGGGGTGAGGTACTGCCTAGGGGTATTTTCAATATTCGGGTACAGGCAAACCCAGCCGGGTATATACGACAGTAATGGTAACTGAAATTGGCTCTGGGTTACACCTTTAAGAACATGCGAAAAAATGGGAGTCTGCAGTGCTAATACGAGGAGATAGGTGACCAAGTGGAAATCCTCACTCACGTGAGCTTCAGTGCAAGATCTCTGCCAACTTCTCCTCATAATACTGGAAGTTCTCTTGAATGTCCTCCCATGGCACGAAAGCCTTTGCTTCCTCTCCTTCCTCCTGTTCCACAAAGTTCTGCCAGACATACTCAAAGTCTTGAGGCTTCATAATCCTCAGCTTGCAGCCAGCTGACTTCATGTTTTTCAGGGCAGCCTGCATTTCTGGCTCTTCCCACATGAAGAGGCGCCCTACCATGATTGTCAGACGCAGGTTCTTGTTCTTCTTTAGCGTCTCGGTTATCCGATCCGCGCAGGTCACACAGGGACTGGAGGAGACGTACCAGGTGATGTTGTAGCGGAGGCTTGATTCACACTTTGGTAAAATTGTGTTGAAGAAAGCCATTTCTGCATGGGCGGCTGCGTGCTCGTCTTCCAGGTAACCCCGAGAAGTCACTGATTCTTTGCCTTGGGTCTCGACAACGTAACACAGGAAGGTTTTGTTCCGGCCTGAGCTGTATTCCACATTCCTGAATTGGAATTTGAAAAATATGGCTGGGAGACGCTCCCTATAGAGAATGGAGAGGAGAGAAGCATCTCAGCAGCAGATAATAAAGGGTTATAGACATAGTTTAGTTCCTGTGTGTGATCTTGGACAAGTTACTGCATCCACGATAGCTGTATTTCCCCGTGTATTAAAAGGAGATGTCTTTAATAGGAGGATAAAAATACATTAAAAACTGTAAGATATTCAGCTAGTTTTGCTGTGCGATGAGGCTTCCAGGCCCATTCTCACTACCTAGTCTTTTTCACTTAATTTTAACAAACTTGTACTGGGAATTTCTGGTATCTGCATATTTGAAGAGCAACGGGGTTCTGAAATGTATTTCTTGAGCGATATTTATTGATGGTGAGGAGGGACAGCAATTGGTATTTTCCCAGTATTAATGCACCCCTAAACTGAACCTTTCTACTGTTTTCTAGGCCATTAACGTAATTCTTTCAGGGTGGTGGTGCAATGTTAGTGTGTGGGATCTGTTGTCCTAAATCGTTAGGATGATCACTCTGGCATTGTTAATGAATGTGTTACCCCCAGTGCTTTTGCAGTCTGGATTTCTTCTGAGTAGAGGCAAGCGGGACAGACGAGTTGCAGTTTTAATGCGTTCTAGTTTTACTCTTCCAGTATCTGTTGAATACTAACATTCAGTAGGATGATATCGTGACTTTGGTTTAACAAAATACCTGAAATAACTTTGCTATGAAAAAGTGTGTTTCCCACTGAAATTTGACAGCTCTCTGGTTTATCTTACTGATAAACCAGAAACTTTTTTTTTTTTAATTTGTTGTGCACCTCTTCCATTCTGGGTTTCTAAATGACCGTCATCCAGAGTGAATCATCGCAGTGAGTAATGAGTTTGCAGTGCTCCTTCACCCAAACAAGGTATCTGTTGTTATTTAGGGAAGTTAAAAATTGAGTCCCTTAAAATACCGTGTATAGCATTTATATATTGCTGACTGGAGAGGTGAAAAAGGAAAGCTGCCTCTCGTAGTTCCTGTTCCTTTCTAATGGAGGTCTGGGCTTTCCCCATGGCTGCCTGTAGCATCTAACTGTGGAGTACATACATCCGTACAAGAACTAGTACTTGAAGGATGTTAGGTGGAAAGATGGAAAAGATATTGCTGGCAACGTGCTTTGTGACCTGCTAAATGCTACAAAGGACGGGAGTGAAGACTGCACGGAGCGACCAAAGTGAAATAATGAAAAGTGGTAACACAACATTTCGTTTATTACACACTAGTAATCTTCTGGCATGTTGTACTCC